CTCACCATCACGATGTACATTGATATGATTATATCCATCACAGTCCTACAGGAGGTCAATCGCGAGCCCGAATAGCTCAGTGGTAACTGCATCACTCACTGGGCGACGTGGGTTCGAATCTCAGAAGGGACATGAGTTCCTTCAAGGTTGCAGATACGCCTTGCTGACTGGTGAGTGCCAACTAGCACGAAACCTAGGTCATGCAAGGCTTCCTGTGGCCTATTGCCTCCAACCATCTAATATCACTAAATCAATTGGCACCGTGGTGTCGAGCTACCTAGAATGGCGGCCACATTGCAAACCTAACTGACAGAATTCCATCTGCGTCAAAGAAAGAACTAGACATATCACACTAGTTACTAGTGTCCAATCAAAGCATTGTCTTAAGCTAATCATGAACTATAATGATGGCTTTCCCAAGCACGTTGAGTCAAACTGTTCAAATTGAAGTCTTTGACGGACGATCAATTTAAAGTACTAATACTCATCGACAGCCCAAAGCCACCTAAGGTTGATGAACCTCTAAACATTGGGCTACTTAAAACTTGAGCTACCAAAAACTTCCATCTCTCCCTGTCGCATATATTTTCTCTCGTTCGGTTTGTTTTAAACAACTAAGATATGACCTCTAATGGTATTATCTACTCTTGTGTATATTTAAAATGTCTACAAGCTTCTGATTGACAAATTTCTACTAAACTTGAGGAATGGCCTGGTTGTGGGTGGTAATGTGTTCCAATCAATACATGAGATAACTATTCTTCGGTCTGAAAATGTACTTCTGAACATCTTACAATTGACTTACAACCAGATATCGTGGGTTTCTTGAAGGAGAAAAAGCAGATATTGAAATAATAGAGAAGATTTGCAGCTCAGGTGGATGATTTGCAATTAATAGTGTTCTCTGAGCTGGTTGGTTTAGTTGCGGAGCTTTCGTCGACCCCCTTCTGGACAACATCCCCTTTTAGCGCAATTTTTAGCATAAAGTGAACTGATTTAAATTTTCCATGAGTGATAGAATTACGTCTCTTGGTAACCATCTTTACACATGTATTGATCATTTTCAACTGACTTGGATTTTAAACTTTCTGGTCACCTGATTTACTTTTTATTGGTTGGTAGATTTGAACTATATCAGCGTGTTTGTTAATTGCATATTCATTTGAGTACCAGGCTTCTAGGAATTTCCTGGCACTTTTGATGTTTCCTCTGCCTAAAATCTCGACATTATCCCAATCAAATTGATGACCATAATTGTCTATATGCATTGATACTAAAGAATACATTCGTGTCTTTTCACGACTGATTTGTGTTCTTGGATTCTAGTTCGAAGAGGACGCCCACTTTGGCCGATGTAATGCTTGTTGCAGTTGATACAGTTTATTTTGTAAATGGTATTAATTTTATCTCCTTTTTCTGGTGGATCTTTCGGTTTGCATAATATCGAATTAAGTGATTTGACTGGCTTGTGTGCGATGTCTATTTCAAACGGTTTCAATATTCTACCTGTTATTTCAAAGATATTTTTTATGTTTGGTAGGATGAATTTTATTGTGTTCTTTGTTGATGGTTCCTTGTTGGTGTTGTCATTCGATTTTAAACTTTTTGAAACCCCGGACCATATACATGGTCGGCGAGCATCTTAACCGCTGTGCCACCGACGCACAAAGTGCTTAGCCCGAGGCCTCGCCGAGACTCGAACTCGGGTCGCTGGATTCAGAGTCCAGAGTGCCAACCGCTCAGTAGAGCTATTAAATCTAATCTTTACATGACGGCTTCAGCTATTAATTAATAGCTGGTTACCGGGAGACGCAATTCTATCTATCACTCATGGAAAAAATTTAAATCAGTTCACTTTATGCTAAAAATTCCGCTGAAAGGGGATGTTGTCCAGAAGGGGGACGACGTAAGCTCCACAACTAAACCAATCAGCTCAGAGAACACTACTAATTGTACAAAAGCAGATATGCATATCATAATGGAATGGTTTGAGTTTCAGCTCAGAGACCATTGTGTCAATTAATATTTTACTTGAAGATATTGATTGTACGAAGGGAATATATCATGCAATAAACTCCTCTGAAAATTCTGTACATTTTATAAATACTGTCCAGAACAAAGATATTATTATTATTATGGGGACAAGATCCAAGAGTGATGCTAAATGACATCACTACTGAGTATCAACGACTGACAAACCTCCAGCATGATACAAAGTTTAATACAATCTGGATGTCAGGGTGGTAGATATGAAGTAGACGTAATTGCCCAGAAAACACATGCCCTGGCGTTATATACCACTGAGTGATTGCGATGACTGGTTGAATACCACTCGCATCAACAGAACCAGTAGTCTTTGCTAGCCACACACTGAATAATTCTAAACACTGGATGACCACTTCGCTCATTTTGGAGCTGCCTCCAAAGCCTCAGAATGGTCGGGGGTGGGTGCCTTGCGCTGCGGGTTGGCCACCCCTCCGCACACCTCTTGAAATGCTCCCATATGACCGGGCGTCTTACATAGCCTCTCCTGAGGAAGTCCTGCTCACTGCCTTCACGTGGCGGAGGTGTTTTTCACCAAAGTGAGAGGGCGAAAGCGGATGCCCGGCGCTCTTCACCGGGTTGACTGTCCATTGGATGACAGTCTAGGGGAGATGGCTAAACCCTCATTCCAAACCTCCAACGACTGGCGTATGAAGCTCACTGGAGCTCACCGGCAGACGTATGGACAAAGGGCTTGTTGGATGTCCTGGATGTCTGGCCCTATTCAAAAAGGCGTATGAACCGAACTTCGGTCACCGGCTGCCAATGGATAGTGGACTCCCTACTCCACTCCTACTGCCTTGTAGGTCACACTTGGTTGTGTAAAGGCTAGAGCTGCACTCTCAAACAAAAGGCCGAGCGATTCTGGGGACATCACTCGTACCAAATTCCCATGAAACTTCATGAACTCTCTTACCTTGTCGCAAAACCTTGCAACAGATCGCCGCGCCTGGGCAGCGATGATTCGAGATGTTCATGAAGCCGGCTCATCCTTCCGTAGGAGATAGCCGAAGTAAAGTAAGTAAGTGAGTTCATCAAAGACGGTGCAGCCAACCAGTTTAACTCAATTCAGACAATTCCATATTAGTTTGTTTATTAGATATCACACACACACACACACACACAGTGAAACAGTATTATTTACTGGATGACAATGTTTCGAACAAAATTTATTCGTTGTTCATAATCATATCAACTATAATCACACGACTTCGAAACTTGACGCTTACAGTTTTCTTTGTTCTCTCCTATTTGTCGTCGTTAGGGTAGTAGAATTTTCCAGATATCTGGTTGAACAAGTGTTGAATGATTCCTATTACATGTATTTGCAGTTGATTCGATAAACAAAGCTTCTGTTATCAATCCTGCTCCCTCCACCCTGCTGTTACATTAGATTTTAAAACTGTCATCTTATCCCATACCACCGTATTGTATGGCTGTGTGTAATTGCATGTAGTGAGTACTATAGCTGAACTATTCTGTAGATTTCTTATCTTAGTGTCGGGTCAACTAATCTAGATTTTGCTGCTAGGTTTTTATGCTCGGCAAGTCTGACTGCCCCTATTCTACTACTTTGACCTATGTGTTATTTGACCTGACAATCATTCCAGCAGGGTATTAGATAAACTAAATTGTTTTGAGCAATTGGCTCCACAGGATTGATCCTTCAACCGACAAAGCTTGTTTCTAATTGAGTTTGTTGGGGGGTTTGAATACCGGCCACTTTTATTCCTGCCTGCATTGTTAAGAATACTGCGTAAGGTGGTTTCCGAGGTGCCTTCCTTGTATGGAATTACTACTGATGATGATTTAGATTCCTTATTGTTGGTGTTGTCACTATCCTGCGTAGGTTTGACATGCATGTCGTCATTAATATAAATGTAAAAACAAAATAAATAATAATAGTGGTAACAATAATAATAATAATCGAATCAACTGCAAATACATGTAATAGAAATGATTCAACACCTGTCCACCCAGATATCTGGAAAATTCTACTACCCCAACGACGACAAATAAGAGAGGACAAAGAAAACTATAAAACTCAAGTTTCGAAGTCGTGTGATTATAATTGATGAAATGATTATGAACCACAATACATTTTGTTCGAAACATTGTCATCCAGTAAATAATACTGTTTCAGTGACTGTGTGATATATTTAATAAACAAACTAATATGGAATTATTATTCAAGTATTGGTTTGTAGGGATTTGGTTGATTGGTTACAGGATTCCATCATGGGCTGACATTGGTTAGAGAACCATCGGAAAACCTGGGAGTACTGGACAGCTGTTTCATCCTAGTTTGGGACTCTTCATCAGTACGCACCCACCACTAGGGTTCGAACCCAGGACCTTCTGGTTACAAGGCTAGCGAGCTCGTAGACCATTAAGCCACTGGGACACGATCCAATGGCCAGCCCATAAATTCTAACTTCTACCAATTCACGATATAGCGCAACCGCTAGCCAATGTCTTCGGCGAGTATTTGTCCTCACACCTGACCTGCTGCACCCTAATGATCATGGCTTCCCACTAGAATCCCAGGCAAATACACCAGTGAGCATCTCATTGATATTCAAGTATTGGTTTGTAGGGATTTGGTTGATTGGTTATACGATTTCAACCAATGTCAGCTTATGATGAAATCCTGTAACTAATATGGAATTACTTACTACCATCACAGTGCCCAAGTTTTACACATATATCAATTCAGACACCTATCACAGCCCAAACCACTCGAATTCTGGCTAGCAGCTACTTCGGAGAACTGGTAACCCCCATTGAATCAAATTAGTAATGACAGCAACAAAAAAATCAGTGTGCAAACGTTGAGCATCGTATTAAAACTACAACAGGGTTACCTATAAAATAATCTGGCATAAAAATTAACTGTGATTTTCGCTTTTAAAGTTTTGCACAATAAAATCATAAAATGATAACTTTTTAAAACTTACCCATCAAAAATGCCACCAGCGAATTTACCTCCAGAATATAAAAGAACAGCCCATTTACGACTTTGTCGAACACGTGAAACACACGCCAATAGTTCATCCATAGTCATAGGCATAGTCTACAGATAATTAAAAAAAACAAAGAGCATAACACTAGGGATTCTTTAAACTTGTTATTTCGAATTGTATAGGGTAAAATATCCCATTCACTCGATATTGGCAATAAGATAAAATCGATGACATCAGGTAATAAAAAATGTCATGTGTTCAGTAATGATATATACAGGATTTCATGATGAGCTGACATTGGTTAGAGAAGCATTAGGAAACTTGGGAGTAATGGACAGCTGTTTCATCCTAGCTCAAGACTCTTCAGCAGCGCGCACCCGCTGGAGTTCAAATCAAGGACCTATCGGTTACAAGGCGAGCTCATAGGCCATCAAGCCCCTGGGAACCTATCCAATGGCTCATGACATCTTAGTCAGAATTCAGATGCCCTTAGGACAGAGCTATAAACCGCACATACACACACACAGTGGGAGGGCTAATAACGCTACTCTAGTTACCCAGGTTGAAGTAGACGCAGAGATACTAGAATTCTGGACGCAATGGATGAAAGTCTAGAGAGTTTAGGGCAATGAACCACATCTTCACTAGTGGTGATAATATGTGCATAACTAGATCTATTCCTCCTATAACCAACCAATAAGACAGATTTATGAAGCAATAATTTGCTTAATTCCAAAACAGCACGTATGATATAGTGTGGAATTCATAGTATTTGGTACAATACTGAATCTAGTTTACTCGACAACAGCAAAACCAAAAAATAATATTACAGGGTATACGACGTAACCTGAATTGATATTAGCAGCTTGTTGGTATTCACAGTGACAATAAAGTAAGAAATGTTTTAAAAAAAGTGTAAAATAATGACGATAATAATGTTAATAGCCATATTGGAAAGATAACTGAAATAGTGTCACTATAAATTACAAATAGGAGGGGACAAAAGAGTCAGGTACTTCGCTAATAACATAATAAGTTGTAGGTTTTGACGCTTAACACTATCTCCATCACAGGGAACACGAGCTAATTGAATTTTTTGTACTTGATTTTACGAGCATATAATCTTTTACAATGACTTCTAGTCCGACATGATGAGATGCAAGGTGGGAGAGAGTTGTGAATAGAAAGTCAGATGCTGAGAGTCAGACAATATGGATTTAGACCACCTCTCACATTAGATCAGGTGTCTGTCGACTACAGTAGTAACGTGTTGACTTATTAGTGGTACACCACTTGACCTACAGATAGCCTTTAGTACCCTGCGCAACATGACATAGTCTCTTTTTGAATAGGCCACATATTATTTAGCTTCGAAAAGAAAAACTTTTATGATAATGCTACTTTTATATTTCGCAATACGTTGAGCTGAATAGTCACGCCGAGTGAGATACGGATGCGGTGATCACGAATATCGCTAGTCTAACGGCAATAACATTATACGACAGTTAGTTGTTGTTCCTCAGCCTGTTCTACTTAAGCGAGAACACACAACGACGTGAGTTGGAAAATATACTTCAGTAACAGCCATAGTATATTTACAAAAGGAATATACGTATGTATACATGGCCAATGATGTCGGCGTGGGAGATCTCCATAAAAGGATGTATACTTGGTCAAAAGCGTACACGTGAGAGAAGATAGCCACAAAGAGGAGGTATACATTGTTTGTCTGTCTACATACCAAAAATGGCTTAATGGTATACGAGCTCGCCTTGTAACCAGAAGGTCCTGGATTCGAACCCCGTGGTGTGGGTGTTCACTGATGAAGAGTCCCAAACTAGGACGAAACAGCTGTCCAGTACTCCCAGGTTTTCCAATGGTTCTGTAACCAATGTCAGCTCATGATGAAATCCCGAAACCAATCAAATCCCTACAAACCAACACTTGAATACATACCAAAAACTTTTCAATATTACTTTGACAATTTTCAGGAGCAATCAAAATTTTTCCACAATTTTTATTATACATATACGCTTCATAACACAACAAGTTACTGACGTTTACTGACGTACACTCCATAGAAGATACCTGGAAGTAATTACCTAAACGCATTGTCAGAGACTAACTGTTAAAAGTGAAGGATAAGAAAATATTTTTGAATTTTTGACCGACTTAACATACTTCAACGAACCACTTAGGTGTTATAGGACGCCAATATAAACAAATGTACACTTCATCAGGTGTAGAATCACAAGTCAGAAATATAAGTCAGCCAAATAATAAAATGTGGTCATCACAAGCCTATACATCGACTACGTTGGCTGAAATAGACGATGTCCGTTAAAGCATGCACACACATAGTTGTATGAAGAAAGTTAAAGTTGGTTAGAACAGGAAATAGCACTAATTTGTAGAATCTTTTGCTGTTAATCTCATTTGTACAGAGAATTACTGACCCACTCTAGTCAGAATACATGAAATCACGGAAGCTAATGATTGAAAACATTGACTTATCAATCAAAGAGTTCATTAGAGCTTCAAATATTACCTATATGTAATAAAAAAAACAAATTAACTAACACTTGATACACCAAGGGAGAGGGCTCTCGAGTGGTTGCACCACAGGATGATATTACATGCCGGTCTCGTCCTGCAAGAGGCAGGGATAGGTGTGTTTGGTTCTCCTGAAAACTAACACCGAGTCAATGGGTGTACCATTATGAGAATGCGTCTGTGGTACAGAGGTAGAATGCTCGTCAACCACGCCCCATGTGGTTAGGGGTTCGATCCCTGACCGACACACTCCTCCTTTACCTCGCTAAGCCAGTATAATAAGACTAGTAAAGAGGGAAGATCAGGCATGAGGTTGGCTAGTAATCCCATCCTATAAAAATAAATCCCACTGCTACTGCTACCAAAACTTAAAAGCTCTAACTTGAAGCCCTATATGTTCCACTGAGAATTTAAAGGAATAAAATAAAAATATAAAAACAATAACTAACAAAAACCGTTATCCCTTCTACCAAAAAGCTTACTTTCTCCTCCTGAGTTAGTAATGCTTTACAGTACAGTGATGATGAACTGTGTAATCCTTTGTCCAAGTACATGTTGATATGCACTCCTCTAAATGATTTCAGTAGCAACAAACAACATAAATGGGAGGAATCTGAAACAAGCAACCTCCTTTATCTACCGACCTGCCTACCTGGGAAGCATCGTTTCAACTACAAGCGGACGAAAGTGATGAGGATATCAAAGCGAGGATGGGTAAAACAAGGCAAGCTTTCATTTCTCTCAAGTCTGTGTGGAGGTCAACAGCACTGAGCATGAGAACAAGATCCGGATTTTCAACTCCAATATAAAGTCAGTGCTACTTAATGGATCAGATACTTGGCGTGGCGTCATGGGGGACACTTCGAGCAAACTACAGATCCTCATCAACAGCTGTCTTTGCTCAATACTACTCAATATCAGATGGCGGGCCAGAAAAGATCAGCAACAGGGAGGGATCTCTGGAAGCGAACCAACCAGGAGCCGACTGTACAACAAATATGCAGGAAAAAATGGACGTGGATTGGTGGCCATACTCTGAGAAAACAAACCACCAAGTGAGTGACATCACACACCAGACCATCGCTTGAGTGGAACCCGACTGAATGGGAATCGGCGAGTTGGTGGTCAGTGCGAGGGTGACTTGGAGTAGGTCATGTGAAGAGGAGATGAAAGCGTGTGGGCAGACGTGGAAGCAGGTGATGAAAACGTTGGCAGAGAACCGAACGCAGTAGAGACGTGCGGCTAAAGCCCTATGTTCCTCTAGGAATTAAAGGAAACAATAATAATAATATTCCTATCACAGAATCACAGGTTAAAACCTCCCGCCACATATAGTAGTAGCATATTTCCAACTGCCTGGAAATGCAATTAATTGTTGCACGTAACATCAATACATACGTGGAAGTGAAAAGTTTGCCACTGTTATATGTTCAGGAGTAAGCGACCACACACGGTGTCTTTGAAGTGGCTACTACAGATGTGTTTGTATGAAGACCTTACTGCCGAAAGGGTAAATTGGGAGGTACAACTCCTAGGGTCGAACTATTTTTAACCCTCCCCTCCCCCAGAGGGGGCAGAAGCATAGCTGACCTGCTGGTTGACAAGCGAATTATTTGACACGACAGATATCACAATGATTTTTGTTCTTAGTTTATGAGTGAATCTACCCGGTGATGAAAATCATAGCAGAGTTTCACTGACTTTAATTGAGAGCAGACTTGAAAAGTGGCGGCATTTCTTACCTTACGAGTGAATAAAACGCAACGATTTATTCCAATAATTTCAGAATTCTTATTTCGGAAAAACAGCATATGCTTGTGAGATGATGCAGTAATCGATGAAGCAGTAACTGTATCAGCTGACCCACTTTGATCACAATTATCCTTATCAGGATATGATTCAGTACATGTGGACGACGACGATCTATTCCTATCTGTTACACGTTGACTATTGTCATTGATTTCTGGAATATTTCTGTTTTCCTCTTTTACAGTTTTATATAATTCAAAATCCAATGGACATTGACCACGTATAGATCGATTCATGTTAAAAATGTGCCATTCACTTTTGAAATGATCACGCTGGAGAGAAAATATAACATATAATAATATTTATGCTTTTTCATGAACGATACCATATCCATAGCATTGTCCATTTTCAACTGGCATATATTACAGTAGAATTTCTGCAGAGATGAAATATAATTCGTCAAAAGACGACTTGTTGATTGTTCATCTATAAAAAATAAAAAAAATGATGATGAAAACAAAGTTATCAACCGAAAGATGATTTTAGCCTACCAGGATTTTCTGATTGTCTTCCGCTTCCGCTGAACGTTTCACCGACTAAAACTAGGCCAGTTAACTTTTCTACAGCTATCTTTTGATCGAAAAACAAATAACGGTCACAGGTTCGTTTACACTGACGACTGATGAGACCAATGTTGGATGACATCCCGTTCGTTATATCCCGAAATATATATATAGGCAAATAGTCTACAATGTAAATAGATAATGATCTATATAGGTGAAAAAGAAAGAAATTTATGATAATTATACCACTTCTAAAATAATACAACCTGTCATAAATATAAGTCACCTGTAAGCGTTATTTACTAAAAACAAGGTCAAACAAGTACTACACTAACAAGGATATAAGTGTTTGGTGAATGTCATCACTCTAGAATGCAAGGAAAACGGACAAACACTTTATATGATACAGTCAGAACAGTGTAAGAATGTTCAGGGAATAGGCAAGTAGTAGTTCGACTAGAATAGGTAGCATTTACTGATCTACAAAATACACCTAAGGGATCATATTTATGCTCCTTGTGAACATGTACCACCTCAAGGCTTCTCACATGATATCTGACTGTCGACCAAATGACTTGTGTACTGTTCAGCAGTTCGCTCTGTCCTCTTTTATGGTTGACTGTGAAACATGACCATTGAAAGTGGAAGATACGAAAAGGCTAGCTGTCTTTAATCATAGGTGTCTCCGTCCTATCTCCCGTGTTAGTTGGTAAAATAAGGTGAGCAATACTGAGGTTAGGCGTCTAGTTCTAGGTAAGGAAGGGAAATCAATCGACGAGGTTGTGAAGTTACACTGATTGAAACGGTTAGGATATGTGTTATTCATGCATGCCTAGCCATCGCCCTCTTCAACAACGGGCAATGTCAGCTGACATAGGATCCGGTTAGAAAAGAGCCAGTGGTGGTCAAACCAAAACATAACTTCATCAATCAATAAAATCCACAACACTAAGTTTAAGCCAGCTAGCCACGTAGGGAGATGTAGACTGTGTGGCTAGTTAAAGTCGTCGGGATGGTAAAAACCAATGGCTAAAGACAATAAGTGATATGGCTCAAAATAATCGTTCTCAATGGATGGGGAAGATGCATTCACTCTGTGATTTGTCATATCCAATGAAACCCTATTGTTCATCCATATTACTACTGTTTTTTCCCTCACTCACAATTTTGTTTATTATCTTTCTTTCGGATCTCCCTCTACTCTCATCTGCGCAAAGTTCTTTGTTGATACCAGTCATTCAGTCAGTCAAGGCTTCTAAAATTAGTAGGTAGTTTGAAACATATAATTTATTGCTAGAAGTGGAGCCAATAATACACTGAAGTGGGCGATTGGATTTTAACTAATGAGAAGTGGGTTCGAATATCAAAGTTTGATGTTCGTGTTATTATCGGTTCTTATATAGTAAAAGGTTTATAGACTGTATAAGTTTACTAAATTGAACATGAAGATTCACTAATTAACCTCCTAAAAGTCAGCAGTTATGCATACTTTCGAACTAGAAAAGCATATATTGAAGATAATACCTAGTTTTCTGCATATTTATATATTTAAAGATATCAGGCCACTCCACTTATTATTTCAGTTTACAGTTTCCATTTCCTACAGAACAGAATAAAATTGTCAGCCCTCATATTTAAGTGATTTACTCGAAACGTCACGTTTTGCAACACCATACGAAAATAAAAAACACCACAAATACAATTACACTAAAATAAACACAAATATGAACAGTGCACAAATAAGACTAAATGAGCTATTCACAGTCTTGAAAACTATGACGAGTAAATTACGCTGTATATTTTTATATGTATGTAACTAACACCTTAATCAACTTATAAAGAATTAAAAAACTACTCAAGTTTAAGTTGAAGGACAATGGGTGCTAACCTCGCAGTTAAATCCCCAAACTCATAAATAAGTTAATGGTAGTGAAGTCTGCAGTGTACTTATCAATCATATCAACATTTACACAGCAACAATTTAGAAACTAGGCTGGCAGGTGAAGAAGCAGGAAGTAAAAGTTCAACTATAATTCAACTTTATAACGTTGACTGATCAAGCACTGATCAGGGTTAACTTGAACCTGAACTACAGCCCACTCTTGTCATGTGAGAAAACTTACTATACATAAATATGCTTACTCGACATAATATGCTCGGCAGAAATTGAAATAAAAAACAAGTAACAGTTACAGAACGCACCTGCAGGGGAAACGCACCAATTTGAAAAGTATTCTAAGTAACGGTCAATATTCAACAACGTTAATCTGTATGCTTCGAAAACTAACTTGATATAGCCTCCTTCTTTGCGTGTTTTCAAAAAAGAATGGGTTTCTTTTCAAGCAATTTCCTACTTCTCCTTCTATTTTAAGTCCTAATGTAAGTAGTGGAAGCAATGGCTATACAGTAACAAGGTTAGCTATTCCACTATCCAATATCGTGTTTACAAGCTAGTGTAAGCAGAAGTGATTTCTTTCTGCTAGCCTCTCGATTTTAAGCTGGAAGTTCGTGATCTTCAGTGGGCTTCTGAGTAGTTTGTCCCATCACTCGACTGTCGTGGCTCTCATTAACCCCAGAAGGTTTAGTGCTGCGACTGATTATGTTTGGTTTGTAGTATGCGATTGGTTGAGACTGTGTCCCTACTGCAAATGGAATTCATCCTTTCGCCCATTGGTCGCCTAGTGTGGATGGAAACAGATGATGATAATAACAGGTATAAATAACGTGGATTATGTAGACATAAGACTTACAAACACAGAACTAATGAAATTCGAAATATATTCACATCAATAATAATAGTACAAGGGAATGAAAAAATAGAGTAGCCAGAACAGCAAGCCGAGGCAGAATGGGAAATAGTAAAACGATGAGCCCATGTGTGTGCCCATCAGTAGTGTATGAGGACAGGCCTCTTTTCATGTAGTCCTCGTGTCGCTGCGTGATTATCTAGCTCCTGCCTAAATCTTTGCACGGTGAAATAGCTACATCCTCTACTTCCGGGTGCTGAAAACTTGAGGCGAAAAATAATGCCGCAGTACTCAAGTCTTTCCTTTTTTTTTTTTGATTTTTTTTGATTTACAGCTTGATTCCACACCGTATTTTCAGTACAGGTATGGAATTTTCAGCATGGATATCGGTAGCCCAAATTCAGGCCGACCATAGATATCGGGTGTGCGCCGGCAGGGGATCGAACTCCGGACCATGTGCATGGTCGGCGAGAGTCCTAACCACTGTGAACTGTCCATGAATTACCATGAGGAAACCCATTCGTACTAAATGGTACAATACCTTTATCTGGGTGATTCTGGACATCTATAATCTTACAGGTAGTAAGTCTCTGCACCCTGTTTATCTACAGACTGTAAAACTGTCTTGATCCCGTTTTTCTCTGACACCACCAGGGCCAGTACTATTAAAAGTGCCAAGTACTATGTGAATATGTTGGAGAAATGGTCTGCCATTGCCTCCACTTTTTCCTGATCCTCTTCGGTTGTCTTTATCGGTGGTCAGGTGTGTGACTCCACTGGATGTTTTTTCCTACAGCTCACGTACGAAATCGTTTTCGGGTTGCACCACTGCTTTTTGAGCCAGATTTGTTTCGAACGTCATCCTAGATTGATGAAATCCTGCAATAGCTTTATTCCGGAGACGAGGTATAGCTTTCTGGCCCCTAAAGTCTCAAGTGTGATAAGGATATTCACCTCAAGTATGCCAAAGCATTCTCCATCAAGCACCTGAAACCCAACTTATGCGTTCAGACAGAAGCGGTTATCTGTCTCTCCTTGCCCTGGTAATTGAACGTGTTTCATTTGATTACGTTACAAGGAAAATCCCATTGTGTGTGGTTATTAATGTTGGTGATAAAATGGTTATTATTACTGCCATTATGTGCACACATTGATTTTTTGTTTAAGAGTGAACTCCATGTATGTTAAACTTGTTTCTGTACATTAAATTAATGATGTCTTTGGGCTGTAAGCAGCCGAGGAGAAGCCAACAAAATAAATCATGGTACCATTTTATTCTGCACAAACTGTTCAAGACCGCCATACATGTTCGCGCCTAAGTAGTCCACAAATCTCTCAATTTATCCATGGATGCATTTCTCTTACACTTTGGACGGACCATGGAATGAACGGCTGGGTAAGTGAGGAGTAAAGTTGCTTGAATTTGCCCCACTCAGCCTCCACGTGAGACTCTACAAACACGTACTAGTCCTGAGATGAGGCCAGTGAGGCGCTTATGTTGGATTTAGAGACCTTTTTAAAGCTGGTACTTGGGCGCAGAATACTTCTGCATCTATGAACTTGAACACTTGATCACTTCTTTCTAAGGGCGAAAGATTGTGTATAAGGTTCGCATCCTCACCGTGGAAAGAAACCATGCCCAATGCTCAGGAGTGCTGTGATTCATACCGTGTAGGCCTCCTGACACGTACGGGGTCTGATAAAATGATTGACTCTCACTGTTTTCAGTCAAATGTATTGTTTCAGTATGGGGTTGCAAGTTTGGTCCAGTCAACTAATGGGGCTTTACTATAACTGTCCATGAGTGAAGTCTTGGAGGTGAACTTAACTCCGATGACGTTGCATTCAAGTTATGATTCCGTAGTCACGGTGCCATCATTTTACTCAGCTCAGTCCGCTTAGTGAACAGACTCTGAGTATTAGTGCAGCTAACCATTAAATCAGCTCGCTGCTGCCTCTTTCTATCCAAAGACGTTTGCAAATAACCAGGGCTCGGACGTATGCTACAAGAAAGCCCTTAATAGTGACATTCTTCCCAGTGTTGTGGCGCCGTTCTTTTAGCTTTATCGCCCAAGACTGTCCTCTGATGAAGCCTACAAATAGGTGGGTGCCTGAACCCTTGGGAGCGTCGTTACAATTGCATCCTATCTTAATCGCACGCCAGCAACACAATGACAGTAACACTGCCGGTACACAAAAGTGAAGAGAAGAGGAGACTGGACGTTGATGAGGGAGCTTTTACTGTCTGAAAACAACAGTCAAAAAGGATTGACACCGCTTGTATATATACATATATATTTAAAATGACCATAGGAGCCACTAATGTCACTGATAAATTAAACAGTGAACAACCAATAGGATGTGAAAGGTCATAAGTAGAGCGATCATAAATCAACAAGTAGGGTGAGAGAGAGATACAAACAGACATGTAAAAATGACGAAAGGAAAAAAAGTTATA